TCAGCAAATAATAAAGAATAGTGGTAATAATATGAGTATTAAAGTAAAAATAATAATACCAATAATAACAGTGGTAATGGTAAAAGAGATAAAACTGTAATAGCAATATTAATACTAACGATGGTAATAATAATATTGGTGAAAAAACAGTAATAATAATAACATTGCTTGCGATGAGAAAAAGCAACAATCTAAAGTTCACAGTGCGCTCCAGTTGTAGTATTTGCTAAAGTTTTCCTAGCTCCTGTTGGTGTTCGGTCGGTAGAAACCGCATCCGTTTGCCGTAATTTTTAAGATACGATGAGATTTAGGTTGATTACGATCCAGATGAAATATGTGAGATGATCGAGACGGCTCGTGTACTCTTCTCCACTGAGGGAGCACTGATCGAAGTTACAATACCTCTTATTGTGGTCGGTGATATACACGGGCAGGTAATCCAGAATCTATTTCTGAACATATCTTTATATCAAAATTAATACTTCCGCAAAACTACCAAGATCGGCCGGGCAAATGCTAGTAATATTACTAAGCTATTTCTGCATATACCTGTCTATTTCCTTGCTAGGCCGCTGTTTCTTTTTTTTTTTTCAACAAACACTTGCATAATGATTCAGTATTCAACAGTTTTACAGCCCTTCAATCGTTTACCTTAATTTGGAGTGCTCACAGAGAAACACGGACCTCGCTTCATTAGTTCATACCTAACCTCTTTCCAATTGAATGTGCCACATTTCAGCCAGCCGCGAAGACCAATAAGTTTTTTCCGGCTCCTGCATTTGCCCGTGTTAAATTTCTTCGCTTTTGATTTCTAATTCAGCTCAGTTGATTGGAAGACACTTAGCCAAAATTTTTCGCTTTCCTGCCTATTAAAATCGTGCGAAAATTTCAGTATGCGGATTTGCAGCGAATTTTTGCAGCGGTTGGACGGCCGGGTAAAACACGATACCTATTTCTTGGCGACTACGTTGACCGTGGTCCACAGTCACTGGAATGCATTTGCGCGCTTGTTGCCTGGAAAATTGCCCATCCTAAAAGGGTGTGTTTTTTTGAAAATAATTCCGGATAAAACACGCATAAAACGTGCGAATATTCTGCACTATTTATGTCTTAGAAAGTAAAGATCAGTTGGTCTGTTGAGTCCGGTTTATCAACAAACCTTTATTTAACCAAAGAAGAAATACATATACAATACTACGCGGCATCCTCATAATCCACGAAGACCACAATAGCCCAACACTTCAATCAATGTTCGGAGCACATCAAAACACGGTGGTTATCGTCTCTACAACCCGACTGGTGTCAAAGTGTTAGCAGTATCCAGCAACAAACAAAAATTTTGATTTCTCGTGCTTGCGAGAAT